AGAATTAAGCCTTATGGCTGATGTATTATTAATTAATTTAAAAAAATAAGAGACGACGATACGTCAGACACGGACATTCGTACGCGGAAACAGCGTGGCCGCGCACCTACGTTACGCAGTTACTTGGCTCGGCCATGCCAAGGTTGGGAATCTTATCTAAGCTTCAGGGTGTTTGACCCAACTGGGAAAACACATTGGCACTCCGGTGCATCGCTACGCGACCGATCCGTTTAAAGCTTCGTTCACAATTGCTCTTATCGATCGGAGTGCATAAAGTGCGACGCGACGCGCGCTATAAACGGCAGATTTATTATTCGCCGTCGCGGAAATGAAATATTGTTATTGACTTTTCCACGATGAAAAAATATTGTAGCTCTCTCGCAATGTCGTGATCTTAAACAAACAAAATATTCCTCTTCTTTTTTTTTAAATATTGATTTTTATCTTCATGAAAATTGTCTGTTTTTATAGTAACCTGACAAAATATTTGTCGATCGCTTCTATTCGTAATTGTGTTGAAATAACGCGTCTATAATATATTTCATCAGCTTTCCCTGACATATTTCTTCACATCAGACGAACACATAATAATACTTTCGTAATTTTTCTTAGATAATACGACGCCAATTCCGTAAAGTGCATCGCTGCACAATGCAGTTACAGTTCGCGCTAAGCTTGAACGGCGCCCCAAGAGAGAGAAAACTGCCTTTGAGCATTCTCTCTGTCCGTGTTTCTCCTCGAACTGAATTCGCGTGCGTCGCGCAAAATACGCGCATATAAATCGCGCCGGATTAATTTACGAGCGTAAAATATTGAGCCAATCAAAACAACTTTCCGTGAGTGTAGCGACACACGTCGGAGCGAAGTCGGAAGGCCGCCGGCATTATTCTTGCCGGATCACGACGGCTGCTCGCGGCGCGTCGATAAGTAATTGCATCCAATTTCTCTGGAATTCACTTTTGGGCCGAGTGCTGCGACGACGACGACGACGACGACGACGGCGGCGGCGGCGGCAGCGGTGGTTACGGTTTGGCTCTCTTTTTCTCACTCTTCCGCGTCTCTTTCTTCTCTCGCTCGCTCAAAATTTATTATCCGCCGTTATTCACCTACCCCTCTGCAAATCGTTCCGAGCGTTCGCGCGCCCCAATGATTTACGAACGATCCCGTTCCTCTGCAAACACTCGCGCTTTTTCTAGCATTTAAATTTATTCCCATGGGTCGCGACGCCACGCGCTTTTGATGCCGAGCGCGAAACGACGAAGCAACAGCCATTATCTCGCTAAACAATTTTCTTTCTAATGGCAAAATAATTCATGGAGAATATTTCACGCGAATCTCGCGACTTGTCCGCTCCGCAAATAATCGGTCGATCGATTCCGTTGCACGCGATTCAAACTGACGCCTATCTTCGGCAATCTTAATTTATTTTTTCCGATCACGTAACTCCCTTCGCAATCCTCATTTCGCCGATTATATATATATGCGAATTACGAGTTTAGCGCGCTGTACCTTGCGAGACGCGCATATATTCCGTCGGAACGGCGATGACGGCGGCGGCAACGGCAGCGCGCGCGCGCGATGGTATCGCATTCCAAACGAGACTCCAGACACTTTAGCCGGCGTTGTCGCGTGTCTCGGGACGACGCGTTATTTTTCTCTCATCCGTGTTTACACACGCTCCCGTGCAAACACCTTGCCGTATCGCTCCGTGCGACGATTGGTATGCGACTGGGAAGGTCGACACTCGAGATCTGCGTACGCTGCAAACGATAAATATCTGCGACTGACTCCCTCGTTAGCCATTAGATTGCTCGCGCGGATTTTCTCGGATTGCACGGCCGAAAGTTATATTCTATCGCGTTATCGCAACGCTCATACGAACTCGTACGCCATAAACTATGCGTCTCTGAAATTACTTTGCAAAAAAGAACAAGATTTACTAATGATTTTTCTCGAATCAGGATTAGATTCATCGGTAAACGAGATAAATAGCTTTTCAATTTTTATATTAAGGGTATGTAAATATTAAATATGTTGAGAAAGTAGTTTGTGTATAAACCTACATTCTCGTAATCAGCGGTGGAGGAATTGGTCTGACGGCGCAAAAAGAAACGGCGGGTAAAAAGTTCTCAAGGCGGTCGTCGGCAGCGATTCATTGAGAGATTTTTCTTAACCGAGTTAAAGTCTCCTTGGAAACGGGAACGCTTTTATTTAAGAAAATAAAAGGCCGCGGATGTGCGTCTCTAAGAGAGCCAGACGTGAAGTGATACGTCTCTTTCTCTCGCGGCGTTGAGAAACGAGGACACTTAGAGACCGCGGCAAGCTGCAGTCAATTCCGTAATTGCTTCTTTATCGTGATCTTCAGAGAACCGACAGAATTGCTTTATTACAGGGCTTTCAGTCTGCTTCCAATTTTCCGAGCACATGCGTCGTTCGCTCGCTCGCGTGGTGGCCCACATTTAGTGACTGCATTTATTGTATCGTGCTGCACAGGATGCACCTCGTGCTGCATCGTCTCTCACGTCTCTCACGATTGCGTTTTGCTTCCTGTCGGCGCGTTGTTCCCGCCGTAATAGTGCTGTAGTGTCGAGGAAAGCTTTTATTTTAACACAGTTGCTGCATTAAATCAAATGAGGTTGTTGTTGTTGTTGTTCATACTTTTACACCTGAAATTTATCTCGCAAGACTTTCGCGATTTTTGCCACTAATTCCTTTCTCGACGTTTCATCGTCCAATAATGATGTCACATTAAACGTTCCGACATCAACACTTTTTTTAATGAGAAACGACGAAAAGAATACTAAATTTATGCATATCATTATTGCAAATAAAGAGAAAAGAATTTCTTATCACCAGAATTCGCGAAAGTTCCTAGATTTTTACTTACAACTTTAGACCATTAATGCCTGACTGTTCAAAACGAATAATATGCGCTTTCCAATAATAGTGATGGTTTCAGGATACCATCTATAACCGGGTGTATCCATTTCGCAGTTGATTTAACGCTTCTGTCCGCGGTGTAATAACTCAATGGGAGTAAAATGCGCGACGCAGCAGTGGCTAGTCGTCAGAAACTGCTGAAAGACTGCAGACGATCGCGGATAAACATGAAAATTCGACGGCGACAGCGGCGACGACGACGACGACCACGACGACGGCGACGACGACGACAGTGGCGACGGCGGGCGACGCGACAGGCGTCCTTGCTCCAACCACTCGCGCTACTACCGATGACGTAATCGTCGCGATACCCCGCAATCTTGGCGCCGCGGTAAACTCGTAATATCTATTTTTATCTGTAGTGGAAGCAAGGGCCTCCCCTCGCTCCCCCGCTCGCGCCACATCTTTCTTTCTCGTGTGTGACGCCGCTCCGACAAGACACATACGCCAGCTTGTTCGAGCCAACACACGTATCGAGAGAGCCAAGCCGAGCCAAACCTCCTCCCCCCCTCCCTGATGTTCGAGAAGCCATGAAATCGAACGGCGTTTTATTGCGGTCGCGATAAGAGCATTTTTCGTCGCGCGTTTTGTGTGAAAGCACGATGAAATTTCTGCTTTCCGGCTCTCCGAGCGAATTCTCGCCGTCTGATTAGTTTGGCGATTTATCAATTCACTTATCGATCATCGGCAAGCGAGTGGCGCGGACGTGGAGCTTCTTCAACGATTATGCACTTAGATGACGCGAAATTGCGTGCTCAGAAACACGTTTGCGCAACATTACGGTGTTAGATACAATTTTAAAAAATGAGGGAAAGAGAGAGAAATATGAAGATTGATTTCGTCGAAATATTTAACTGATTTAGCATTTAATTAATTAGTTGATTTTTACAAGATAAAATTTAAATCAAATATTTTACTATATTATTCAAATTATTGGCAATATCTACATTTAATAGTCGGTGCATTACGACTGATTGGCTATTAAGCACCCAGTATTATGCATCGAATACATTAATCTGAATGCTGCGAATGCGGTTACGAATTACGGATGCAGTATTACAATCATTTTAATCTGCAAACATTTTTGTGTCATTACGGATGTGAAATAGAGTGCCATTCATGCTGGATGTCACGCTGTGCGCTTTCTCTTACCCCTGCAAATTTCCATTCATTCAGACGGTTTCATTCAGTCTCAGTGTCCGTCTGGCGCCATCCTCGGCGACGTCGCCGGACATTGAGAAGCGTAGGATTTTCTGACGACCGGTCCTTTGCCTAAAGCCGCCAGCGCGACAGCCTAAAAGCCTTTTTACCAGGAAGGGCCTATCATTAACAAAAGATCTTACTATTAAGAGGGTTTCTTATCTCAAGGCGACATCCGGAAAATAAAGATTTTTTTGAAAAATTTACACCAGAATGGAATAGTATTATTTTACAAACGTGACCGGGTGAGGCTTTAGAAATATAGAGACAGATTAAACCGGCTTCAGAAGAAAAATACGTCTGAATGAATGGCTGGTAAAGATAAATAGCGAAAGGTTAGGTCATTAATACAGTTATTTCCTGCGTGCAGTTTTTAACAATGGACAAAGAATTGATTAATTGTTTCGAAGAAAACTGTCCGCTATTCAGTTATACATGTTCAAAAGAAAGTTATTGAGTATAACATTTCGTAATCCATTTGTAATACTTTTTGTAATTGTATTATTAAACATTTGGACCATAAGTGAATTGTAAATTTACTTTATTAATGTAAAAATGCTACTATAATTTGCGAAATATTACCGTTTGTGTCGCCTAATATTACAAAAATTTGGATAATTATATAAGGTTTTTAAAATATTCTATCACTTATGTAGTTTCCCATATAAAATATATTTACTACATAATTTTTGCAAAATTACATGATTTTTTATATTTACAGTATTAATTATGTAATTTGTACATTTATTATTTGTGTAAATTTACTGAATTTTTTTACAATGTGAAATTAAGTCGTTCGTGCTTGACCGAATAACGTTCTTTTTCATACTTAATCGTTTCTTTTCTCTATTTGTTTGTAGGTGAGACGGGACAAAGGGAATGGTGTACTTTGGCGTATTGGGAATTGGGCGGTCGAGTCGGTCGTCTGTATCCCGTAGAGCCGTCGACGGTTAACGTCTTTGACTCTCTTCATGACGGCGACGGTCTCTGCCTGGCGACTTTAGCCGAGAATCACAATGCACCGCCTGTGGTTCAACGTACACGCAGCAAAATCGGTCTCGGTAAGTTTTTCATTAAGGATTTTTGGGATTGGAATTTGTCTAAGGAAACATGCTTGGTTCCTTTCGTTTTGCACTTGCTTTTAAAGATTGTTGTTATTTGCGAAAGGTGTTCAAAAACGCCGAGAAAATTAAAATATTTCCTCACCTAACCTTTGCTGGTCTTCATTTGGTCTTAATCTGATCATTGTTACTGTCCATTGTTACATCCACAAATCCTTTTCTTCGTTTAATTCTTTTTGTATGGTATTGAAGGTATTTTCACAATCCTTGACCTGCAACTTTCGACAAATCTTTTTCAAGAGGTTTGAATCCGTCTAAATTTCTGGTGTTTTTTTTGGATTTTCTTTCCTTTTGCCTTGATATTTGTTTTAACTTCGTTACCATTGATCTTTATTTTATTCCAATTCTCAGTATGAATGTCGCATCCGCTCGTCCTTTCCCGTTTTCGCTTTTCGTAATTTCATCACTTCGGCATGCATTTATTGGTTTTTACTAATTTTTACGATTCTCTTATTCTCGCATGTAACAAAATTATTGCTTTTTTCTAAAAAGTAAAAAATAAGAAAAAGAGTATGTTATATTGGCTATATTCTGGAAAAAAAAATTAGAATATGATAAATAGACGCAACCGGATGCCGAATAGCTTATTTTTATTATCGCAGGGCTGACGCTCAGCCAGGAAGCGGACGGCGTATGGGCGTACAATCGGTCGGACAGCCCGATCTTCGTGCACTCGCCCACCCTCGATGACCCGGAGTCGAGGACACTGCTGGTCTATCGGGTGCCGCCGGGCTTCTGTCTCAATATTTTCGACCGCGCCAAGATCTTGCAGCTTCCATACAGCGGCAGCGGCGGCGGCGGCGGTGGTGGCAACCAAGCCGCCGGCTTCGTCACCTCCGGCCCCATCGACATCAACTCCGTCCGCATCAGTTTCGCCAAGGGCTGGGGACCCAAGTACTCGCGGCAGGAGGTCACTTCCTGCCCGTGCTGGCTCGAGGTGCTTCTGGCGCCATGCAGGTGATCGTCCCCCAGGCTGGTCGGACCAAAGGGTATTGTCAAGTCTCGTCCTCAACTTGCGTCTCTTCTTCCTCCTCGTTGTCATCGTTGTTGTTGCTTGTGGGGAGGATCGGTGATAATGATGCAGCGACCGTGGCCTTTAGCTCCGTCCTAGCGAGAGCTGTGTTATCAGAAAAAGAAAAAAAAAAGAAAAAAGAAAAAAAAGTAACGCGTGCCGGGAGCGACTGTCAGCCATCTGTGCTGGGGTCGCCCCAAACAACCCCAGCAGTCTTACCAAAGTACACGCCGTATAAGTAATACGTCTAGAGACAACGTTGTGTTCCGTTTCGTTAGTAAAGCGAAAGATAGAGAGGAACAAGCGGAGATCGATCGCGAGCGTGTTCATCGAGCGCTTATGAACGGAGGGACTCACACCGACGAGTGGTACTTTAAGATCTTTATGAAGCGTTTGATTCACGGTTCTATATTTTTGTTTTCTTTAATTCTTAAATAGACTTCTTTTTTATTTTATCGCCTAGATGTCGATGCTACTCTCGAGATTCGTGTGAGAATTTTCGACGGAGGAAGCGATGAGAGGATTCGGTCTTCCGGTAGATCTAGTCACTTGCGTTTATAGTCTGCGCACGACGGCTCACGAATTCGCGTGCGCGAATTCTAAATTCAGGGCGGAGAAAATTCTTAGTTCTATAAAGATGCAAGCACGAAGCAAGAGTAACATCAACGAGAGAAAGAAACATGTAGCTGTGCCAGACTGTGCTGCACGATTGTTTCATCAATAGGATTTTTCGAGTAATCGCTTTTATTTCGTTAGTCATTCGAAGAAGTTTTAAAGAACAGCGGATATTCATCGGCATTTAATAGTGGAAAGTTCAAAAAGAGTGTTCGGCCAATATATATACATATGTGAATGCGATTAAACATTATGAATTAAATATTATGAATATTGTAACATTAAAAATAATTTATAGAATATCCGGCTGCTTATAAGTAACTTTTAGTAAGTTATCAAGAATTACCGCGAGCTTGTTTATATACTCGTATTTTGTAGAACTTATGTTACTGACGCGAGAGATAAATTTGTATTTTAAATTAACAAATTAAACACTTTGTAAAAGATAATTTTATTTTATGTGCAATTATAATGCGCATTTATAAAACAAAAATTTTGATTGATACTTGATAATTACTCATTTACGTTTAAGTAACATTATTTCGTTTAATTAATTCTATTAAATCTCTATATGATAGCCAACATTTCAATAGCATAAGTTCTATGGCAAATTTTACGTCTTGGGAGAACAACATTGAACCAAATGACTGCGCGATTGATCAGAGTGCTAAAGCGAACGTGCCACGAGTCCTGGATGTGTTATCTCCGGTCGTCGTTCGGTGCTGTATATACGTATAAGTATATGTACATACACTGTGCCTTCCCAGCTTCCCTCCGTGGTGCAGCGCGTACTTTCGGGAAACAAATGTACGCCACGTGCCAAGCTCGTTTCGCACGAAAAATAATGCCTCCTCCTCCGGAGCTTTGTACTACAGTAATACGATGTACTGTGATAAGAGTTCGACGCAGGTCTTTTTTTCTTCCTTTTTTTACGATTGACACGTTGCGAAGCAAGTGAGACGAGAGAGAGAGAGAGAGAGAGAGAGTGCGCGAGAGTGAGAGAGAGAGAGAGAGAATGAGAGAGAATAAAGCAAAATGTTTGCGTAAAATGATTAACGAAGAAGATTCTTTACATCGGAAATGAGAAATGTATCATTAATTCTGTGAGGTCACTTTCTGATTAAAACAATTTCGACGGAGATGAAGAAAGTAGCTCTTTTTTTTTTTTTTTTTTTTTCAAGACATTGCTATGTATGTCTCTGATTTCCAATGTGTGAGAACTCTTCTCGAGAAGATTGTACACGAAACGCATATAAATACAGGGTGTCTGATAATTAACACGATTGCGCTCTACCCACTCATGAGCGCGTCGTGATCAGACACCCTGTATATGTGCGGACGTTTTTTTTACATACTCTATAGATAGAAATCGAGTTGAAAGAAGGAAAGAGCGTGTTCAAAACGATGCGTTTAAATACATACGATGTAATATATACCAGTCATACGAATTCATTCACACGCGTAACACGACATACACACACACACACACATGACACACATACACCGTTTCCATTTTCACGCACACACATGTACAATTGACTGATCGACCCGTAGATTTTTTCGACCATTAGTTTACTTTCGTACTACCGCTTTTATCGACGTAAAAGTGGCTGTTACTTTGTTACGGCGATTGAGAGCTACGAGAACAATATATTGTGATGCGTATACGCCGCTTGAATGTTATATATTGATATGTAATGCAGAGACGTATACAAAAAATGTTCATAGGTAGCTGACTGTGTATATACTTGTGCGAGAGGGAGAGAAAGGGGAGATTGAGAGAAAAAGAGGAGGGAAGGAGCAAGAGTCGGGTTAGATCATCGGCGAAAATAATTGTAACGGTAATAAGAGGAATTTCGCCGGCGATTTCTTCACTTTAGGCGACTCCGACTTTGCTTTTCGTAGTCCCTTTTTCACTGCCCCCAACACGACGTGGTCGAGATCCATCCATCCGCCCCCTTTCACCGCTGCTCCGACCGAGCGCGCGTTGCTCGTGTACCACTTTGGAATGCGTTGAAAACGGTATTATATGCTGTCCGCGCGATGTAAGATGGTATTTAATGATTCACGGGGCATGTATCTGCGAAGGAAATGCGATGAAAAATAACAAAATAAAGAGTTATGTCGATGTTACCGTCTCAGGCTCGAGGTACCGATATTTGTCACTGATATTTTTCTTCATATTGTTCCCATCATTTCGATCCGGTCTGCTACAATGGTCTCTATAATATTTTGATTTTGATAAAATTGCCATAATTTGACACAGAAATTGTATGCATATAGATCAGGGTTAAAAAAATATTAAGTAGTTTTAGAAAACGCTTGAAATTGTAAGAACATTTTGTAACTCCGTGAGGGAAACAATAAAGTTTACACAGGAAACGCTTTGATGAAAATGGGTATAACATGCAACGGTCAATTTATTAATAGCAAATGTAATTCATGTTGATTTTTAGATTAGTCATTGCATATGTTAAGAGCCGTATGCATAATATGCATAATGATTCGTGCGGATATTTGTACCTCTGTGCACGCTATATCGCGCTTAAGCATCCAAAAGAGAGAGAGAGAGAGAGAGCGCGCGCGCGCGGCCGTCGCGCGTTAAAAACAAAAAGAGATTTACGAATGCGTACTAAAATTAATGGTAGGACCGTCCTACGACGTAAATACGACGCTACGGGAACGACCGAGCTTCTCTCCCGCGACGTGCCCGTCGCGATAAATGCGAGAGTGATTTCTCCTTCGTCTCGAGAATTTAAAGCAAGAACTTGCAACAAGTGCGAGAAAGAAAAAAAAATTAATGCGATGCAACGCCGAGAAAAACATGAAGCTTTGTGGGAGAAAGAACAGCTCGACGTTCACACAGAATACAGAAAGTTCAAGTTTGCAATAACAAATCTAATTAATTTATTAGAGAAAGAGATGAAAAAAGTAAGTGTTGCGTTTATTTCGTGGACTTTGTTTTCTGTCTGTCTCCAGACACTGTCTCTCGCGGAAAACTTTAAATTAATTTTTGAATTTCTTGACTTTTGTGTAATAGAGAGAGCTGTCGTTGCAATTGTATTTTCTGTCAACCTCACTGACATTCTTCATACCATTCTGCCTTTCGTCTTCTTCGGAATGTCCGTAGATACAGAAGCGTTATTTGTAGATTGTATATAGTACAAAATGCAGAGGAATCCGAGTAAAGAGTTTTCGTAAATTTTTGCAGCGTAATGAAATTATGAAAAATACGGCTACACTTTACATCGATCCGAAGTTAACTTGAAAGGGAGCTCAGAAGTGAATAATGTAACATATATCTGCGGTAAGGATTTTTTTCAAACAAGAAGGGCTAAATACATCTGTTGTGTACATTCGTAAACTGCGTGAAACGTTTCTGCATTTCGACTGAAACATATATTCACTTAATGCATGGATTGTCTTCTTTCACTCTACCTCTTCGTTCTGCGTTATTTCTCCTTTCATCTCCTTCGCGCTTCGCTGTCTTTATCCTTTTTTTCGTCTTTCTTATTATATCTTAACGTTGTGTTTTATTTTCTGGATTTTCAAGACTACTTGCAGCAAAGTTTCTCATCTGAAAATGATATTCGAGCATTCTTTTTCATTTTCAAGATATATTAGTTTTTTTTTTAATTTGCAAGGAATCGTGTTCGATAATTTTGGATACAAAAATAAATCTACGTCGAGTCCGCGTTGATGTAATATCGCTTTTGTTCTTTTGCTATTTAATAAGGGAAATTATGCCGGCAAAATGACTGTCTATTCGAAGCGCGTCAAACAAGACTGACCTTTCCGACTAAGAATAACTTATTCTTACGCCTGTCCGTTGCGAGATTAATCTCAAACGAAACGATTGGCTATCGTCAGTAAAAGAGCCGGCCACTTGTTACCGTTTCTCTCGGGCGACGCGACGTGCCATTATCCAATAGTAGTAATAGCGAGAGTAATAACACTAATATTAATGAACGACAATTAGAGCCGCGTTTTCTAGCGTCTACTAACTCTTAACTGCAATCGGCCGACCGACCACTCCACGTGTCTGTGGGCTAGGTTTAAACGATCTTTAAACCATAGACATGCAATACGAAAGTTCCTCGTTAGCGAGATTAGATGCCTTCGACTCGTGAATCTCATTTAATTAGTTGTCAATCATTGCGTGTCGAGTGCGATTAGAATTTTTTGCGTGTGGAGAAAAAAATGCATAATAATAAAAAAGTCGGAGGAATTTGTCAATTTCGGAATATTCGAGCGAACGGAGTGAAGGGCAAAATTGTGCGAGGGAACGAACGCGAATGAAGGCAACTAATTTCCCTATAAGGACTCTACGTCTGTGAAACATAGTGCCTTTACATAGCCGTTCACTATTACATTAAATTAGAGTTTAGAACGAGAGACTAGCGGTTATCACGCGTATCGGTAAAAAAAATGCCGTTATCGACGAGTGCTTGAAGCATTTTGTCGGCAATCGATATTATTGCCCGTCTTCAAAAGAATAACCCCTCCTCCTCTGCTCGTACGTGTCTTTCCTCTTTCCAAATTTGTTGATCATTCTCACTTCTTCATTTTAGATTAACGATGTATAACGGATGGACTGAATTTTGATAGGAAACAAAACGAAAAAGAATTTCGACGTATTTAGACGAATTTTTTATTCCTACCGTGTCCTGCGTTCTAGACATTTTACGCCCGTTAGGATGTAATGAATAAACGAATAGTGCCTTACCACGAAATATTGTGCTTTTTCGAAAGTTCAAGTAGTCGGAGAGTAATGGAACACGCTCTGAGATATGGGCGATTTGAGTTTTTCTGATCGCGGACGCGCGCCTGAAATTGTAATCCTGCAGAATTGATAAGAAAAGTTGTTCTTCACCATCCTGTCTACTTATCGATATCGACTGACTTCTGGCGCATTAAAAGTTGATCGTTCCGTCGGAAATCAACATTACGATTTCATCGACGAATTTAGAAACTTGGATTGACTTGAAAGATATTTATATTCCTTTTCTCATTTACGTCGGAATTAGGAAAAATTCTCGAAGAACCATAGATACACGATAATGATATTTCTAAAGAATTTCATTTGGAGAATATAATTCCAACGTATACAAATTTTTGTATGTTTAATATAATTTTATATATGACGTTGAATTTATACATAATATTTTTAAGAGTATATATATGATATACGATCTCATTTTAATAATCAAATTATGAATCATTTACGTGTATCTTTCGTTTATTGTAGCGGCAGTTTCCAAATTCGTCGATATGGAAACGACGATGTTCGACGATCGCTCGCATGATTTCCGACTCGGAGTTTAATTCATGAGACGAGTAATCGTTCAGCACGTTGTTCCGTTTTAAGATTCACCGATAATGTTTAAGGATAAAAGAGTCTTTTCGATCCGGCACCGCGATTCCTCATTTTCGAATCACGCGCAATAAAATATACGCAACAAAGTATCTATAAATATATATGTAGTACACGTGTAATCGGTGCAAAAGGAGTGCACAACGAAGGATCGAAAAGAAAAATGAAAGAAACCCTACTGTATATACTGTACATAAGGTGTGTACGTGCGCGCGTGCATACGCATACATTATACATACTATGTATATATTATGTATTATGTCGGCGACACAACGTTAATAATAATAACGAATGGTAATAACGGATAATAATAATAATAATAATAATAAAGAAGCAGATATTGAGTAAGTGCGAATAGCGAAATAACGAAATAACGATATTATTAGGTACCTCCCGAGAACTCACAATATTATTTTCACTATCATTGTATTTGATTCCGAAATGAGAAGTAAAACGTTTACTAAGCGACGATCGTGTATCGAAGATCAAGGAAATCCTCTCCACTCATTTTTACGAGAAAAGAAACAAATATATGAAATTGCAGATTTGTATCTCACGCGTTCTTAATGATTAATCACCAGTCATCAATACCACGTCCTATTACGAATCTCTTTATGCCGCATATATCTCGCCATCGTACACATAGAAATATTATTGTACATATAATATTCCTGAGGCGTCTGCTACAGTAAAATTTGCTTTACAAATTTATAACGAGTACTTATTTGTTTATTATTAACAAAAATAACATAAAAAGCACTTGTGTCAAAAATCATGTTTCAAAAATGCAAAATATACTTGGAAAGATATGTTTAACTCGAGTTCTAACATAATTATTGTCTAACAAAATAATGTAAATTTTAAAACATTTACCATGCATAGGACTTTTCCGAAAACGATATATTTCTAAGAAAGTCGATTGACTGCTAAATCATTTTTTCTATATATTTCTATATTGATTTCTATTTTTAACGATAAATTTATATTTTTGCGGATATCTAGCGTTTGCAGCAATGCCGCTAAGAGAGCGCGGTTAATGCATGCTTGATAATAGGCATGCTACAAACATCGGGTGATTAAATCCTGAAACTCCTGCGGGGCTTCTTAGGAAACGGCATTTAATTCGTTTCGCCAGGAGCTAGCAAATAAATATTTTCCACTCGGCGCACGTTGATTGCTGCGCAATTTATTATACATTAGTTTTGTCCAATCGATACAGCGCAACAGTAACATTTTCTGATTTGTTTTCGTATTTTTATGCGAAATTATACCGACAAAATATCTCTTTCCTTGATCATAATTTTATTTCTGACGTTTTTACATTATCGCAACGAAGATGGATCGCTCATTACATTTCCTCGTCGTTGCGTGCAAAACACGCGTCCAAGATCACGCAGCGCATTATATGCAGCACGTGTATATAATACAACATACATAAATTAATAAATACCTATTAGAATAATTATTTACAAATAGGCACGATTTAATCGAAGTAATCAATTTTCGATATCAAATCGAAATCAGAATGATCATGAAGAAATTTATATTAATTACAAATTCATATAAGAGAAAATTAACACTTATTATTTAATTAAATTAATATTAAATATGCAACTTTTCAAACTTTTTATAAAATTTGAGAGATTTTAAAACTAAATTTTTCCAACTATATAAAATGTTCTAATTTAACGTGAACATCGTTTGTATTATTGATTGAATGTAAAAGGCATTTTCATATGCCATCAACAAGATAAAACTAAGAAAATTGAGTCAATCGATGTTCATAATATTTACAGATCAATAGATCACTTCATGATAAATTCTAAAAACACAACTCACATATAAATAATCAATACCTAATATTTCATCCAACACTTTGATTTCTTCTTAGATTAAACATATTTGTTCTTCTCTTTCACTTCTTCTCTTTGCTCGGAATTAAGAAAGATAGTAGTCCGCCAACTGAAAACGATTAATCGATATATTTTCATTATTCAAATCACTATTTGATTCTAGTAATCTGTTATCGATTTTATTGCATCGAAGCTTTGAGAAAAATATTTCCATAAATTCCATTAAAAAAGGAAGTGTGACAAAAGCAGTCACAGTCTTTTGAAAGTATTAATGATACGTGACTTAAAATTTTCCCGAGGTAAACTATACTTACATAAGGTGACACCGCCTAGTAAAAATATCGGGATCTCGCAGCTGAGGTCCAGCAACATGCCGAACAGCAGATTGCTTACCACCGCGCCGGTTCTTCCCAAGCATACCATCATGCTTATCGCGGCGGCGGATACGTGCGTGGGGAAGATGTCGACCGCCACGCTGGTAAGCACAAAATTCGCTGTGGCTGCCATCACAGAGAAGACGCATGCCGCTATGAGAATCTGCAGCGAGGACTTGACGAAGTAGATACCGAAACCAGCGATGCCAGTCAGCATCATTGTGGTCACTGGAAAAGAGAAGTCCGTTGAGAATTATTCTTGTTAACAAAATATCGGAGATTAAACAAAATAATAATTTAAGTACATAAATAATTTTATTTTAGATGTACAATTATGAATAGCATTATGGAGAAAAATACAGTATTATAACTAAGAGAATGTCCTTCTGAGTATTGTAAATATTTTTAATTGCAATTCAAATTAAATATGCCGCTATCAGAAACAGCACTCACCCGGCATTGTTCGAGTGCCGACCCGATTTGCCAAATATCCGGAGGCGGCATTACCTAACAGACAAACGGCGTTGATCGTCATAGAGTTAATAAACACCCGTTCGTCGATGTGCGGCTCGCACTTTGTGGTGATTCCGTTCGCCAAAAGGACGAACGGCTCTTCCAGAACGGTGTAATTTGTTACGGTGTACTGCGTTTCGCGTATCAGCTCGCAGACTGACACCGACGCGTTCGGATGCCATTGGTGATAATTCTCGAAGCGATTGAACAGTTCCGGCTGCCAGAGACTAAAGCCGTAGTATCTAAATACAAAAATCAACTCCATGGAAAAATGTCTTTTTATATTAGCAATGCATTTTCGATTGTTATCAGAATATTACGATAAAAATAATTACATAAAACTATTTATTGACACATGAAGTCAATAAATATTTTTTAAATGGAAATAAAAATGTGATTTTTTAAGATGAAGAGAAACTCACCCGAACATATTCGTGAAATAAAGCGTCCACAGGAGGATGCAATACTTTAGGAGAGGTGGCGATGAAATGGTACGCAGTTGCCACCAAATATTCTTCAACAACTCCGTCAGCACGTCCGAGGAAGACGGTGCTTCGCCTTTTTCCACTTCGAACACAGCGTCGGAAAGGATTTCCTTCACCTGATTGAAAAGAAGAAGTCAATATTACATTATTTGCATTTAAATCTAATAATGTCATTTCGGAAGTAAAAATTATTGCATATTTACCGGAAACTCGCTTTTATCGCGTCCTGTGTTTATCGCGTAGATCTGTTGGAGAACCGCGAGAGCTTCGTCCTCGGTCTTGCCTTGCGACACCAGGTATTTCGGGCTTTCGGGATATGTGTAAGTTACCACGGCTATAATGAAAGTCGGCAGACTGATCAC